TCAGCGATGCTATCTAACCATCTCATCCTCTGCCGTCCCCTTCTCCTTTTGCCTTCAACCTTTCCCAGCATCAGGGTCTTTTCCAAATATTACACTTCTTACAGTGTAGTGGTCTGGCAGTCTGAAAAAAAGGCTAGGCCGTAATCATGCATAAAATAGTTACTTGGATTGCAGCCCTTATGAATGTTCACTTACATATAACCAAGGATTGATTGTTGTGCTAAAATATATGGTGGCTTGGCAGAGGCAGTTCTAATTGATCTGAGTTCTTTCTTTTTCTAGTTTGTATGCACCGTAATAGCCATTCTTTTGCACTACTTCTACATGAGCACATTTGCTTGGATGTTTGTTGAGCAGCTTCATATCTACCGTATGCTGACTGAAGTGAGAAACATCAATTTTGGGCACATGAGGTTCTATTACGTTATGGGTTGGGGGATTCCTGCCATTATAACAGGTAAGAAAGGGATATACTTGTACTATGATCTTATGTTTAGCCTTACGAATGCCAAAACTTCCCCCTAGGAATTCTTGGTAACTGAAATCTGGGGAATATTTTACCTATTCTGAGCAAAAAAAGACAGACATATCCTAAGTTTCTACTTGAAGATGTAGAAATGCTACCTTAGGCTACAGAAAATTGAGAAGTACACAAAATTATGTTCTGGTTTTAAATGGTACTTACTTTTTGGCAGCAAGAAACATCTCCATTCCCATCAAATGTACATTAAACTAGAAGTTAAACATAGTGACTTAAAAAGAAATTTGAATGACTTGTAAGGGAAAATATTTAAACATGAAGATCCAAAGATATTCTGCATAAATCCAGTGTCTCAAATGAATGAAAATATATTCACTGCCAGACCTAAAATATCTTCCATCACAATTGTTGTAAGTTCTAATCGTCACCAGCCAGTGAGTGACATGATACCAGTGGAAGTGACATGATACCACTGGAAGCACTGTGAGTGGTTCAAGTAACATCTGAAGGATCAGAGTTCTCTACCCTGCTATTTGTGTCAGAGAGTAAGTCTCATGAAACTCAATTTTTGTACTCTTAAATATTGTAGCCTAATAATCAAGGTATATTACAATGGATTGTAAGCAGAACCAGTCCATCAGTCCTGGACCAAATAAATGCTGACTGAAGTGATGATCAGCAAATAGAAGTTCACATAGTTGGGGAATGGATGTGAGAAGATGATGGACCAGAAAAAATTATTATGTTTGCCAAGGTTGAAGATAGTAGAAGGAAGGAAAACTGCAGATAACCTTAGATGGAGAGGATCAAAGAGATTACTCAAATAACCTTGGAAGAGTTGCAGTTGATTACTGGAGGCATGTGATGGTGAGCGTTTGCCCATATAGTTACTAAGTTGAACCCAGCTTGATGGAATTTGCTGAGCTGAATTTAGTGAGAGCAGAAAATGCAGTCCAACCTTCCTTGATCGTTGTAGCCAATCCTTTGTTGTATTTTCATCCACATATGTTGCATAGAATTCTTCCTTCTACTACACACTGTAGAGAGAAAGGAATAACGGGTTCTTCATCACATTTTATGTAGTGAGAAATAGCAGCAATGGTATGTCATGAAGAAGTTTTGGAGAGGGATTTTTTTTCTTGAAACTATAGCTCAAAGTTCAAGAAAACATGCATGTATCAACTTCTCACCTCCAGTACATTCTGCATATTGAAAAAGGATTATAATTGTTTGTTTAGGAATTATAACTTGGCTAGCCTCCCTCTGTGTGTTTGTTTGCATAATATTTAATACTGAGGAACAGAATATTTACTATAAATAACCTGCAATATTATGGCATGGCATAGAGATAGAAGATGGGTTGATAAGTTATTGCGCCCAGGCATGATATTGAGGGAAGGACTATTAATATGCTTGAAAATTGTTCCCTTTTTGTAGCTGGCATGCTAGTAAAACAATCTTAGTATATGAGAAGGATACAGATTTCCCCCCACCAATTTTTATATTGTAATATCAAGGTTGCTTGTAATCACATTATATTTTTAACAACAAAAACAACTAAATCTGTGAAAACAAAGAATGATCACAAATATCCTGAAAGTACTGATTAGTTTTCAATGACTGAAAAAGTTCCATGATAAAACAAATAATGTTTTATGCAAAATAAACTGGATGAATGAATTAAATCAGTTTTATTATAAGACAGATAAAGGGGAAAAGGGAGAAAATGTTGGAAGACTTTTATAACTGTGATATCCTCCAGTGTGTTTTAACTGCCTCAAGCAGTGGAAATGTTTGCACATGCTAATGGTTCTATGGTAATTTCTAAGCAGCTTTGTTTCTCTTCAGATGGATTCCTTTAGAGGAGTAATTAAACACTTTTAAAAATAAATTTAATTGCTAGTTTTCCCATTACCTTCACTTTGGTTTCCACAATGGCTATCTGTTAACATAAATTTCCAGATCTATTTACTTCTTTTTGTCTTTAGAAAAGTCTTTAATCTAGTTTCACAAGCTTTTGAGGTTTTTCAGGGTTAAAGTTTATATCCATCCTTTTTGCAACATTCATTCAGAACATAAGCATGTGTATGTACAAGAAAACTTCTAGATTGCCGTATTCTGAGAGCAGGTTTATCCCATCTGTATTGCCTGGTGAAGAGTTTCAAATCAAAAATATTCTGTGATGCTGTAAGGAATTGCAGAAAAAAGCAAACTGCATATGTGGAAGGATGTGTGCCTAAAGGGTTCTTTAGTTACTAAGTGCTTCTTAAAGCAGAGCAATATTAAGAATAGATGTGTGTGGCATTGCAAATTCCTACGGATATTCATTTATCTAATCTGCTCAGCAGTGTTTGTCATACCAATTACATTATACTGCACCTATCTCTTCTATCAACAGGCCAGACTGCTCTGATGCTATAAAATAGTCATGATTCTTGTAATCAGTTGTAGAGGAGCTACTCAATAATTGAATGCTAACAAGAAGTTAGAGATAGCAAAAGGGGTTGAGAGGAAAGTACTATCACAGAAACTGAGAAAGCAGAGAAAGAGTATAGGGACCAAGAAAATTGGCCAGAGGAAGGATAATTGAATAAGAAAAAGCAGAGTTCACAGAAAACTGCTGAGGAGCAAAAACCAGAGGAGAAAGAACACAGAAACGAAGGCCTGAAAATAGTCCAGTGGAAACAGGAGGAGGAGGAAGAAGAAAAGGGAATGTGGAAGAAAACCTATTTGTAATCTAGATTCAGATCAGACTTCTCAATCTCAGGCTGTCAAGATTGGTTGGAGTGCCATCATGCTCACTCAACAGTTGCTGGGCACTATGGGAAATGTGAACTGTCAAGTCTGGAGGGCAACTGGCTACAAAAGGTTGGCATGGAGGCTTTTTTTGTGCTAGCAAGCTTTGAATATGATCAAGGTTTAGGATATGAAAGCTCAAGGATAGAGATATACTGGGTGGAAGTGGGATTTAAAATCCTTAGTAGTAAGTACTTCTTTCCTAAACTGTTGATTTCATACTTGGGGGCTGAAATACATCTCATTTTAATTCAATATCTAATGAGTAGGGTAAGATACAGACAGTGAAAAGCAACCTTTCCTTCTCCCAAAAAAACAACTGAAACAAAGAGAATCCTCCTACTCTTCTTTTGCATTTTTTTTATACTTCTTAATGTGAATTAATGTTTCAAAAGACTCCATACATTGAGTTTCACTCTGCTTTTGCATTGCAATGCAGGTCTTGCTGTCGGTTTAGATCCCCAGGGATACGGGAACCGAGATTTCTGCTGGCTCTCTGTTTATGACACCCTGATTTGGAGCTTTGCTGGTCCCATTGTAATAGTTGTGGCTGTAAGTATTGTCGATTCTGCAGTGGTGTAATACTCTAATAGAGCAAGGTTATAGTCAGTGTAGAGAGCAGTAATCACAACTGAGTGTGAGGACACCTCTCCTTCAGACTTCTTGTACAAAACATAAATAAGAATATATATCTTGCAGCTGTTTAAAATTGTAAAATGTCTCAGTAGCAATGTGATTGATTGGTTGACTATGTGCCATCAAGTCGTTTTCAACTCCTAGTGACCATATAGATAGATTTTCTTTAGGACAATCTATCCCTAATCTGGTCTTTCAGGTCTTCTAATGGTGTGCTCATCACCATTTTAACTGAGTCCATCCACCTCACCAGTAGCAATGGGACTAACGGCAAATTACCTTTTTTTCCCCAAACATTATTATTGTTTGTTAAAAGATAGATCTTCTTTGTACTTAATTATGTGCATGCCTTTTATTGACAAAAATATGATTATGATTCCAAATATAGTGAAGCCTGAGGGTTATACTGTCCTTAAAGTTGTAATATGGCTACATTTGTCTGTATAAAATTTTTAAAGACTCTGACCCTTTGAAGTTTAAAATGTATTGTGCTAAAAAAAAAAAAAAAAGCATTCCCTATAGTCATTACTAATGGGTCTCTCTAAAAACTCATTAGGTTGCAGGGTAGACAAGCCAAATAAATGTTAAAACCAGTATATAGGTGTCTTAAGACAAGATGGTTATGCTTGTTCCTTTTTTTTATTTGATTTATATCCTATTTTTATAGTCTGGTCAGTACTCAAAATTTAAAAAACAAAAAGAATGATAAAAAAGTTAAATCCTCAGATTAAAATTAGCAATAAAAGAAGTGATAACATTATTTACTACCAATTAAAAACCTGATGGAAGAAACACATGTTTACAGATTTTGTAAATAACTGAGTGAATGCATTCCATAACCTTGGAGCAATGCAGACCTCTGACAGCGGGGGTGTCCTCAAAAGGGCCTCTCTCCTTTATCAGCTGGACAGGATTGTAACAGGAGAGGTAGCCCCACAGATAGTTGAACCCTCAGCTATTTAGGACTCTAAAGGTCAATACCAATCTCTTACACTGTGTGCCCCGTAAGCTTACTTTAGTACTACATGATGCTTTAGCTTATTATCAGCACAATCATTTGCCTTCCTAACAACTTCCGTACATTAATGAAGACTTTTCAGGAGGGCTTTCCATGTATAACCTTTCTTGCTACTTTGTCTTGCTACTTAAATACGTTATACATTCTGTTTGTTGCTATTATTTTATTCTGTTACTGTTTTGGGTTTTGTATTTCTGTGTTCTACAGTAATGTTTTTATTGTCAGTTTACGTGAGCTATCTAGAACTCTATGGAGGACAAACATTTTAATTAAAAATACAAGAAGATTCCCAGTACTGTAGTTTTCTTTTTTGTTCACATCCACACACATACATGGTGGATTCATAAAATAGAAATTGTTGTTCTGATCTTTGTGTTTTTTTCCCTTCAAGATCAACATTGTAATCTTCATCTTAGCAGTGAAAGCATCATGCAAACGAAGGCAGCGTTCACTAGAGAAAACTGGTATCATGTAAGTTTACTGGATCATGTAAGCCAGGTGGAAAGGAAATCATCCTGAGCAGCGATAATATAGAGTGACATATTTGTTACAAAGTAGAATAATTTTTAGCAGTTTATTGAGTCATTGGTTGTCTTAAGAAGATGGTATCAAGAGTGGAGAAGCTGTGCTTGTGTGCCATTTAATCTCATTTACATTACTTCCTTCACATCTCATTTCCACATTCCAGTTTTTGTGATTCCATTCATAAGACAGCTTTTTGCATAATAGTATTATAGTGAACTGTTTGCTAAAACAGATCTGTTGAAGATATAAAAAATAAGGATTGCCTTCAGACCTGGAGTTGCCTTCTCCTTTGGTAGCATTGTATTCTCAATTTTGAGATTCATTCCAAACATTTTTAAGGTCAGATCAGTACATTTTTAAAAAATCATACCCAAATTTTTCTCCAGAAAGCATTCACAATAAATTACACTCTAACACATCACTGCAGTGGATTATTCTGTAGTCTCTTGTAGGATTTGGGGGACTGAAGGAACAGCCCAGGTTCTGTTGGATAAAGTTACCAACACACACAAGTAGCTCTTTTGTTGATATTCTAGGTCCTCTTCTTTCTGACAGTTGGCTTAAATATGTTCTTTTCTGATTTATTCTATAAGTCTGACCAATTTTAGTCAATTTAGGACACATCCTCAGATACTATACATAGGAAGCTGCCTTCTATTGAGTTCCATTTTAGTTTCTACTGTACCATTTAGACCAATTCCAGCTTTCCAGCAGGAATTTTTCTAGCCCTGTTTGGAGTTGCCAGAGGTTGAATCTGGGACTTTCTATACCCAAGGCATGAGTTTTATTATTCTGCAACACTCCCTCAATTAATGAATTTAGAGACTAAGGTTGTTCTACCATTCTACCCTTAGCTAACATACTGCTGTTATCTGATGATGCAGTAAGAGGAAGTCAAAGGAGGCAATTTACTATGTTCTTGAAGATCATTGCAAGTCTCTTTGAGGCAGCAGTGCTGATATGCCCAGTGTGTGTGTGAAAAGCAATTAAGGTGTTGCTTGCAGTGAATCCCTCAAAGCATTGAGATCAAACATGTCCCCCAAAAGACTCATGGTTGCTTCAAGGGCTTTCACATGTTGTCTCTCCATGTATGTGCAGACACACTGAAAGTGTCTTTGCCTGCATATGCAGACACAGACAATCTGGGGAAACTTTCCAAATAGCTACCCCAAGTCTTAATATGTCTGCCTCAGCACTTCAAGGAGGGATATTTTCCTCATGCAAAGTGAAGTGTTCTTTCCAATCTTTGCCCAAGCCTAGTACCTTATGTAGCACATATTGCTTTCCATATCATATTGGGAGAAAAGCAGCATGCAAATGGATTTGGGGTAGTAGAATCATGCAGCCTGATAAGACACTGCCAGCACATGATGTAATCAGCATTGTTAGGAGCTGGTACTTAATTATAGTATAGATAGTGACATTATCATTTAGAAGTCACAGATCAGTTACTGACATCTGTTTGGACAAGACTGGACAAGGTTTATGAGCTGCAAAAATCTACAGCAGTTTTGACAAGGTTACAGAGTAGATTAAAACCTTTTGTTTCTGCATTTTAGTTAGGAATCTTCCAAAATGATTTGTTTCCCAGGATGGACTGGAAATAGAAGTCTACACACCAAAGGAGCTGTATTTCATGCCTTAAAAGAATTATTTTAATTGTGCTTTTTATCTAGCTCTGTACTGAGGACTGCCTTCCTCCTCCTCCTGTTGGTCAGTGCGACTTGGTTACTGGGTCTGATGGCAGTAAATAGTGACATAATGACCTTTCACTACTTGTTTGCTATCTTTAGCTGTTTACAGGTAAGCTATAACATTTGGTCTTAATGGTAAGCCTTTTGTTCTGTTTCAAGGGCCTTGATAATTTATTTATTCTCTGTTGAAGTAGTCTGTATTTTTGAAGATGAGCTCACAATGAAAATGGCAACCCAAAATGACTTTAATTTTCTTTTACTCAGTGGAAACCAGGAAATTTTACTGAGGCAGCCTCCAGTAAATGAGTTGCCTTCTTTGAAATGCACAGCTGTTTAAAAAAAATGAAGGAATAGCTGCTTTTGCTATAATGCTTCTCCCATTTTTAATTATTTAAATGTATCTCTGCTGCTAATCTTTTCAAGAAATGATTATTTTTAATCAAAGTCTTTGGTTTTCAGTTTCTGTGAGGATAGGTTAACAGAAGCCCAGAAGATCCCATTGGAAAATTGTAATGACATGCAACACAGGAACATATTTGCTAAGTTTAATTAATTAAATAGAAATGTAGGTTGGTGCTATACACCAAGAGAGATCAATTTCCTATCTAGCTCAATATTGCCTGCAATATAGCCCTGGAAAGGTTAGCTTTTTATTTCAGTGCGGGTTAGAAGAATTCCAACTAGATTACTAGTATGTACTAGTATGAGATGCCATCTTAGGGCAGAGATGAACAGCACTCAGGTGGCTACGTTCAGTGGTTGAGGGAGCTGAGAACTACAATCATGGGACAATGATATGCAGTGGATAAGGGTTCATCTTCAGAAGATGTACTCATCTTAGAAGTTGTACTCATTTCTAAGTCCTACCAGCATATGATCAAAGGGGAGATGTTTGGGAGAGATAACAGCTAAATGGGAGAGTTGCACAGGCAAATGGAAGCACTTCTTCGTGCAATTCACAGTTAAATTGTGGGATTCAGTTGCATAAAACTCATTTCCATCAACTTACGGTAACATAAACTTTCTCTCAAGTCGAATTCAACTCCTGGTGACTACTGGGACAAGTGTGTGTTATTTTCTTAGCAAAAATACAGAACTGGTTTGCCATTACTTTATAAAATGTAATATATATTTAAAGGTCCTCATTATCTGATCACTTTGTTTATCATTATGGAAGAATAACATATTAACATACTTTTATTCTTCTCCTTCTTCTTGGTCCCTCTCACAACAATCTAGGGCCTCTTCATCTTTTTTTTCCACTGTATATTCAACAAGGAAGTGAGGAAGCATTTGAAGAATACATTCAGTGGAAAGAAGGCTTTTCCAGATGACTCCACAACAACCAGAGCTACCCTGTTAACTGTGAGAAGTTATTTTGCAGAAGCATTTCCCTACAAATTGGTTGGCTCAGAATTCTGTTTTATATATTTCTTTTTTCCCTCTACAATTGTCCATTGTTGTATTGATAATTGTTCAGTTTAGGACTGAGGTATTTTTAATTAAAATTGTAACTAAGAAAGTGACCTTAGAGTGAGCCTACCAGGCACTCAAAAGGTCCTGATTGATCTGGGATTTTGAATATCCAGCAGGTGGGGAGTACTTCAAAATCAAGCTGACTGTCCAACTTTTGTGGGCTTTGGGCCACCTGGGTTCTGTTTCTTACTTTTGTTCATGCACAGAACCAAATTCAGCCTTGTAATAGTAATCTGGTCACAAATGGTGGCAAAGAATTAAGAGAAGGTGACAGTGAACACACAGGGGGATTTAATTACAAGGTGGCTTCAGGTAGTTTCCACAGCTTGGTTCAGCAAACATGTTTTGAGATTGAGATTGAGGAGAATATGCTCTGTTAATACAACAAGAAAGTGGCAAGGAGTTTATTGTCACTGTCCCTGATACTACTAACTTAAAGATGATAGAAAGTTTTATGCAGGAAAAAACAAATGATGAGCAGGCATCCATAGGACAGAGAGAGGCCATTACTTTGAATAAGTGGGAAGAGTAACTTCACACTGAATTATTCAGAAATGCAGGAATTTGGGACTTGAAAAGGTGGTTTGTGTGTTTTCATGACAGAGACCGAAATAATGCATGCATTCTCAGTAGTAGTAGTAGTAGTAGTAGTAGTAGTAGTAATAATAATAAT